GTAACTTATGCGTAAAGTTGTACTCGACTAATTTGTCAATCAAATGTTTTACCTATAATTTATAACTTGGAATCTCTAATAATTTGTAGAATATTTGTATAACTGATTGAGAAACTGAGATTAAATGTGTTACAGATTATTTGTTTATTTCACCGAATTATTAAACTTTTTTTATCATTTTCATTTCCTTAGAAATTATCTATAATTTTCACAAGAATGTACTATAAAATATTTTTTAGTAAATATCTTTTTTTAAATGATTAGCTTTTATGATTTTTGTTGAAAAATATTCCAAAATTTTATTTAATATACTTTTAAAATTTATTTATACAAATACTTCATATTTCCATAGATCTTTCAAAAATTATAGAATCAATTAATTCGATGTATTTAAACATAAGGTAGTTTCGTAATCGTAGGCAAAATGTATATAGGTGTAATAAAGGGTATCCTAAAATTAACGCAAGATTTTAATTTGCCGCTCTTTGCAGTAAAGTGTCACCAAGCTTCAAGAGCAAAACAACAATTTGAAGATGCAATGTTGCATGATAACCAAATACAGGGGAGGTTCATCGGCGACGAAGGTGATGATGAAAGCCATCGAGAAGAACGACACAAGAATCGCTCAATTGAAGAATGAACTTTCAGTATTGGAATCCCTCTACAAAAGCATCGATGAGTAAACTTTTTCCAATGGTGATAAAAGATAAAATAATTTCATAAACACAATATTGTATTATATCCTAACTTAATATTTTGTAGTACTTTAAAATGATGAAAAATAAATATTGTTTAAAGTTTACACCAATTACTTTAAATTTCCATAGTTATTATTCTTAGAATAATTATAGAATCTAGTGAAAAACTTACATTCAATGTTTTAAACTTAAGAACTTCACCAGTTTTCTAATACTAGGAAAAAAATATTGGTGTAATATAATTAGGGGCGCTTCTAGGAAATTACCTGTTTACTTTGGGGTTTAATAAAACGTAATATCATATCCCCACCACTCTTAGAATGTATATAAAAACGAGTGATTCACTTTAAAGTTAATCATTTCTACTTGAACTGTCCAAGATGTGTCACGAACAGAACAAGAAGATCTGCGCCCTCGAGCTGACCAAGCTTCAAGAGGAAAACAAGAATTTGAAGATGCAATGTTGCATGATGACCAAATACAGGTGCGGTTCATCTGCAACAAAGGTGATGATGAAAGCCATTGAAAAGAACGATAGGAAATTTTTTCAATTGAAAAATGAACTATAGGAGTCCATCGACAAAAGCATCGATGAGTAAACTTTTTCTAGTGACGATGAAAGAAATTATTTACCGCGTCTGACAAAGTTTTTATTATCTCACTACTATAGCAAATCCCAAGAAAATAAACTCGCAGCACATCTGGGAATTGTTTTAGTATCGGGATTATAATGTAATTAAAGGTAAAACAATTTGTATTTAATTGTAATAAATAGAAATAAAAACTTGGCGGTCGATAGCCCTGTCATCGAAATAGGGACCAATGAAGATTTATAAATAAATAAAATAAGAACTATTTATAAATTTATTTGAATTGAATAGTGTTTTATTTCGGTTGTAATAGTGTCGTTAAAATGTCTGGTAGCGAATTCCAATGTAACCCCTCATCAAACCTCTCGAAGTCTATAAATAATTTCAAGTGGAAAATTAGAGTTCCCGATGAAAATGCATGTTTCATGTGTGCATGTGTGAATAGAAACTTCTGCACCGGACAAGAATTATTTCACACCCTCGCATATCGATTTTGGATAATGGCCCTTCCATTCACGTGGCACAAGAACGTGTTCACACTAATTACGTGTTTATCACGTGTCCCCCGACAACTGAAAACACACACACAGAGCATTGTTAGTGAATTACGAAACATTGGTTAAATAGGTTTCTCTTAACGTAACTGTATGGTTTTTCTCTGAATTTGAAATGTACCACGATCTATTATTGCATAGAAAGTTCCAAGAATTGTTTCTAAGCAAAAACACCAAACGGATCATAAATCAAATAAAAATAGCATAAATTGTACAACTTTCGAATGTGATAACAAAAAGTGGAATATAAACTAGATTTTGCGTTCGCGGATTGAAGAAAATTATAGTTATTATTTATGTTTAATAATAAAAATTGAAATATAAAATTATATAACGTAAGTTGAATTATTCCTATTTCATAGTATTTCCAAGTAATTGAAGAAAGTTATTGTAAACTAGTGAAAAAGATTTAAGAAATTGTTGTGGTTGTTTTTTTGGATTGTTCATTATGTAATTATGTTCTCTTTTAGGTGTTCGTATTTCTTAATTAAGTAACACGAAGCTCACTTAATGCTATTTATTTAATGAATAATGATAAACTTCCTGAAACGTTCGCTGTTTTTTTTAATCTCCAACAGTTTAAAAAGTTTTTGATGTAATAATTAGAGACAAACAAAATTAATTGGAACATTTTTAAGTTTTTTTTTGCAATTTATTTAATCAATTATTGCATTTCTATTGATCAAACAGATTACAATCTATTTTCAGTGGAAAAAATACTAAATAAACATTTTTATAGAAAAATGGTGTGAATCAAACTGATTATTGTTTATGTAAAAAATATTATTGAAACTGCGTATTTATATATACTTTTTTTTGTTTTACAAAAATTGCCCCTAAATATTGTGTTAAATTTAATTTATTAATATTATACGAATTTTTTTGAAATTGTGAGTGATTCAGTTGAATAATTTGATTTGCTTACTTATTGAGTATTACAGGGATTTTTTTCAATTTTTAAGATTTATATTTCCTGGTTTACTAGGAAATAAACAGAAAATTTTCAAGCAAGAATTTCTCATACATGTTTATATATTTTATTATAAACTATAATATTTTATTTCGTCTACAGTGTGCAAAATTTGAACATACAAAATTATCAATAGAATGATGAATGCGAAATCTAATTCATAAACAACATTCATAATCATTACTATTTCCACTCCACATTTATTTATTTTATCTTTATTATTTGCACAGTTTTGTTTATTTTATTATAATAAAGTAACTCTATTGATATAATAGCATATTTTTTTACTTACTATTTATTTAACTAAAACAGTTAAAATAGGAATTAAAGATGATTCTGAAGCTGAAAATTTTAAGTAAGATTAATTGTTTGAATATATGACAGACATTGATATATTACTTAAATATTTTTCCACATACTTTTATACAATATCATCTTCTGACAAACCCAACTTAATTTCAACAAAAATTGTACTTATATTAACACTATTTCAATAGAATAAATGGTATTAATAATACAGATTTTGTATATTGTGAAATAAATATGATTTTTTGAAATTGTAGAAACGATTGTATTGTATTATTGAAGTAGTATTTTTTGGTTCAAAATTTAACGTGAATAGTTCATATAAGAAATATAAGTAATAATATATGTTATAATTGAATATAAACTAATTTTTATTAGTATTTTTTATAGAATTTATCATTTACATATTTTTAATTACATTCTAATTTTACTTTTTATAATTTAATTTTACTTAATTAAAATTGTATTTTTACTGAAATTTTCAAACCGGATTATATATAGTAAATTAGGACTAATCGAAGCCGTACTATGCGAGCTATTTAGATTATTATGTAATATGTCTATTTATATATAAGTACAGTAAAAATAAGTACAGAAAATCAACTTTATAAAAATGTAATTTATTGTATTAAAGCTACCTCGTATAGTGGAGCTTCGAAAGTCCGTATTGAATATAGTCCGATTTCAAAACAGTAAATTTTAATTCAGTAAAATAAAAAATAAATTTTATCTATCTAAAGACCTTCAGGACAACAGCATTCACAGGCCAATAACAATACATCACTACATAGTTAACACCTATATTAACAAATTAAACTCGCTAAAGATTGCAGAAAATCGCGCATAGTTGCCGTAGCGCTTGAAAAGACGTGATATTATCATGTTTATGTACTAATGTTCGCTGTGGATGAGCGGGAGTCTCCTACCAGAGTGAATCATGGGACAGCCGGGTCTTTTATCATGAAGGGTGGATAGACCGTGTCCGAACGAATTTTATCATTCTTCAACCGAATGATGCTTCAGAATTTATTATTATTTGTTTCATTTTGAGAAGATTTACTTTTATTTTGTTTAATTTATAATTTCATATTTTTTATATTTACTTATATGTACGTCTTATTTTATTTATCAAAATGCATTTTTTTGTATAATTTATTGTGACAATTTATGTTTTTTCTGTCTCTGGGCGGAAAAACATAGGTATTATTAGTACACAAAATTATTGTTGTTTTATTAAAAAATTATCGGTCACCGCTTTTAAAGACCTGAATTAATCCGGATTCAATTCAGAGTAGTCGGAAAAGAAATATAAGTAATAATATATTTTATAATTGAATATAATTTATTTTTTATTTAGATTTTCTATAGAATTTATCGAAAACATTTTATATAATTATTTTTAGTTATATTCTAATTATTAAGTTAGTTAATTTATATAAAAAAAATATTTTTTTCGTAAAATACTAAAGAAAATATTGTATATAGCAATAACACTTATAGTGCTAGTAATCAGTTGCATTGATATTTTCAAACCGGACTATAGTAAATTCGGACTAATCGAAGCCGCACTATGCGAGGTATTTCGATTATTATGTTTGATTGAAATGATAGGAAAGTTTATTGTTTATTTACTCTACTGAAGGACTGAGTTTTTATTTGTTTTGTAAGTGATTGTAAGTTATGGTTATTGCAAAACGTTCTGTATTTGGATAGGTATCTTGGATTGGAGTAGATGTTGAGGTCGAAGGAGCAATACGAGATAGGGAATGGATATCCTTTAATGGTTTTACAGCCATCCGAGCATCGGAACAATGTATACAAATTAGCAAATTACTTTGGCTGCGTAACGTTCCGTCGCTCCGCTCGTTATATAAGAGCGTATGTACAAGAAGCGAGCAAGTCAAGTTCGCGCGTTGTAAGCTCAGTCCGATCCGAGCGTAGACCGAGTGCGGGTGGTGTGCTTCGAAAATGTTGCGTACGCTTACGAGTTACGAACGAAACTTCCAAACATCGCTTTGAACCGAGAACATCTTTACGGACGTTTCTTTTTACAACATTGTTGTTCTAACATCGACCAAGGACCATATAATATATACAAATTCAATTTGGCACATCGAAAATACGAGGAGGACACCTCCGGAAGGAAAAGTTTTGCGAAAAATTTATGACTTCAAATTTGGATTACTTACGCTAAGTTATACGATCTGCATGGGGATTTTTACGTCTTGTAAGGTAAGCAAAATCGGTTGTGATTGATGAAGAAAAAAAGAGCGGAATACTTACGGTATTCCTCAAAATTGTTTTTCGGTTTTCTAGTGGCGCAATTTGAATATAAACGCAATCGGAACGCATGTAAATGCTTATTATTAGGCGCCGTTGCTACTATTAATTGTTTAATTAATATTTAAACGATCGTTTAAATTGTCCAAACAGTTTCTGTTGGCACCGTTCGAAAATTTAAATGAGCTTTGGACATTACATTCACCGACTGCCGAAAACGTACGTACGTACATAAATAATATAATACAAGTACATAAAGGAAAAAATTATATATTTATGTGTGTGTGAGTGTGTGTTTATATATATACACTCTGATCGAATCCTGTTTGCAAAACTAATTTCAATGCCTTTCCGTTGTCGTCAATATTAATGGCAAATTCTATCAGCGAGCAAAATTCATAAGTAGCAAATATGCTAAATAGCTTACATACACATCTCCATTTTTTGTAACAAATCCTTATGTATTTTGTAGTTTGCATAAAAGCTTTACAATTATTAAAAATAATCACCGAAAACTAGAAGATTCTATTCATTGCTTAAGTCTACAACAAAATATGAAATATCACTTAATACATAAAAAGAACTTACTTTTTATGAATGGAACAAAATAAGTAAAAACTAAAATCATAATTAATTCACATATTTTTATTTATTTTGCGAAGAAAAGCTTCATTAAAAATATAGACTCAATCAAAATAACAATTATTAAAAACATTTGTAATCTTCACAATTGTTTTTATGTAGGTAGTAATTAAATATAATTATTTAAGCAAGTTACGTTGTAATAATTGAAAAATGAAAACTTGTTAAAAGTGTGTATATTTATCTGCAATTATACAATTATATTTAATTACAGAATTAAGTCTATTATACTAATCAGTTTCTAGTTTAAAATTCAGTTTTTATTGAAATCGTAAATTGTTATGTACAATAAATACAAATATTGTAATAAATTTAATAAACTGAATCAAAACTAATGTATTAGCGCTCTTGGAACCATTTTTAAATGTTTTATGATCAATTGAAAAAAATATGCACATGTTAAAACTATCTATATTTAACTGCAATTATTCTATTATATTTAATTGCAGCATTAACTGGTCGTGTGTAATTTGATTAATATTTAGTTATCTAAATGTATTTCTCTCTGTTTTTAATTGAATTAATTTAATGCATAAAAATGTTGATTATAATATATAGAATAAATACTGAAATTGTAATAACTACAATTCTTTTTCAGGCGGAAATCTGATGTGGTTGGCATTGATTGAGTTTCATTAGTCTAAATTGAATGTGAAGAGCTTTAGCCGAAGCCAGGATATAAGATACTGATAGCGGAAAGAAAGTAATAATAGCAGTCAGTATGTGGTGCGGTGTAGGGTGAAAGAGGATGAAAAGCTGAACATAAAATATAATGCCACTTTATGAAAATATCGAAGAAAAAGTTAAACCAATTGATAAATGTTGAAAAGAAAATGTACTGAAATTAAAATAATGATAATCTTATTAATGTTTTTTATTTAATGATAGTTATTATTAGATTATAATTTGATGAAAATTGCAGTATATAAAATATTTATGAAATAAATTAAGATGAAAAATATGTTTTTAGCAATTATCTCATGGTTGTAATGAGATTCCAAAAGTGCGTTAAACAGAAATATTTTAATGAATTTTTAGATTTTTGTTGATAAATATTTTTATTTATCTTTATAATAAGTATAGTAAATCAAGTTTGTAAGTTATTAAGTTACTTTGTATAGTGCCGTTTCGATCAGTCCGGATTTCAAATTAAAGTAAATTGAGCAAAATAAAAATAAATTCTGAAAAATTAGTACACAAAATTATTGTTGTGTTATTAAGAAATGGTCAGTTTTTCACCTGAATTAGTCCGGATTCAATTCAGATTAGTTGGAAAAGCAATATTGTTGGTATAATTTAATATATTGCTTTAAAAAAAAAATCGGTTTTCAACAATAACAAGGTATTGTTTATCTGAAAAGTTTTGGAAATACTGTTGGATATAAAAATGTGTAGGAATCGAAAAACATATTTAGTATTTTTAGATTTGGAAACCCGAAATGCGTGTATTAATCAAAAGCGAACTCCAAAACGCAATATGCAAACTCGCAATATATTGATTTTACCTGCACTACATTCGGTTATTATTATTATCCAGTGTTAATCGGAAAACGGAGCGCATTTCCATTGATTATGATAATATGCAAAGCTTTTAAAATCGAATAAAATATTTATAGTGTATTTTATAATTTATTACTTATAAGATTGTGCTTTAATGATGGAAGGGATGAAACAACAAAAAAAAGAAAATGCAGCTGTTAATTTTCATCATCGTCGTCTTCTGTTTTGCTGCCTCTCCGGTGCATTATGCGCACTATGCCATATGGCATCGCATCCATTAATTACACAATCTAGCGTAGGAGAGCCCGAGGCATGATATTAGTTTCCGAAGTTACGTAATGAACAGTTCTGATACGCGGAAGTTGCATCCAGTCAACGGACTAACTGTTATTGCAACGTACTTTATACACTCGCAATTGCAATTTAAGAAAACCTCTTACACATTATATACCTTGGAACTGTGTTTATTTCTAATTATAAGAAGAAATAACATAAACGTTAATTTATATTGAATGATTAATTGTATCGTAAACTTTACATCGACTTCAACATCATTAGAAATAAGTATTTATAATTGATTTATTAACTTGTATTCTTTACTATTTAAGGCCACAATCTTGTAGTTTGTCCTCATTCGAGAAGGTACAAGAAACATCAAAGTGAAACTCAAGCTTGTTGAGACCGTATCCAGTTACAAAGTTGATCCGTATTGTGTTTTGAATGGAAACACCGAAAATGTGTTACTTTTATGATGTGTGCAATTTCCAGAAGATTTTTATCCGGAATTTCCATATAGTCGCGGATGTTCCAGATTATATTTTTATGTGGAAAGATGTGAAACTCGGAAAACTCAATCCTCTGGAAGAATTCGCCCTTCGCATGAAACGCGGTTTTTGCCGAGATTAAGTAATTGGTGGAGCGAAATGGAAATGCTTTCACCGCTTATTTTATAATAACTTAAAAAAAAAACTGAATGCGCTTTCCCAAATGCACAAAGACAATGAGAGGGAATATGCAAATCGCAGTCACGTTATGGCGTTATTCTTCAAACAGACGCTTTTTTTCCACAACGAGTACCGTTCGTGCATATTGAGAAATTTTATTTATCACATCAAACGTGAATATTGAAAAGAACATGATGTTTTGCGTTGCATAATTGTCTATTGTGTTTAATAAAAAAAAATAAATAAAACTTAATAAATAAACTTGCTTGACAAGAAAGTTCATTGTATTTTCTTTATTATTGTTTTAGCTAGATCTCCTTTATGTTCCATTACACAACTTTTTATATTAAAGAGTCGAGTAAAAATCGTTCTACCTATATTCATGAAAAGAATAGTCAATATGGGAATTAAATTTTGTAATAATGAATACTTATTAATTATGAAATATACGTATAAGGGCTATAAAATCTATAATAATTGACTAAATTTGAAAAAAAAATATTAAGATTGAAAGTTTATTTTCGAAATCAATATATTTAGTTATGTCAGGAAAAGCAAACTAAAGTTAACATTTACAACTAATTTACGTAACTTAAATCCAATTCAAATGTTAAGTTTACAAATACTTTGTTTAATTATAATAAATACAGGTGTCCTGTGTTTTGTTTGGACCGGAAACGACATTGATTTATAGGCCGGAAATATAGCATAGCTTTGTATATTTTTTAATTTACTGAAGTATGTAAACAAAACAAACAAAAAAGACAACAAAAAAATGTGGATTTTTAAGTTGCACAAACCAAACAATTGTTAAAATATAAAACAATACTAAAAAAAATTTAGATTAGAATTTGTTTTTGGTAAAAATATGTAAAAAAAAGATGTCTTCATTTTTATACAACAATTTTAATAAATCTAAATAAATTATCAATTTACACTTTTTTTTTAAAGTTTAATTAAAATACAATATCTAATTTGACCATCAACACTATAATTAAATAGGTAAAATAATGATTTAGTTAATGACTTCAGTTAATAATAGACAAGTTAATTAATTACTCGATCAAATTAATTACGTGAAATCAATCGATTTACACCAAGATTAATTAATTTCCAAACACATTTTTTTTTACTTGTTTGTTGCCTCATTTTTTTTACGAGCGCGATCATTAAAAGCGTATAAATACAAACAGTTGTTTAGTCTGTGTGAATCTGTTTCCAGTATGCTTCGCTCATTCTCCATTTCTTTCCTTTTCAACGAGTCCCATTAAACAGCTTTATTTCTATGCTATTCCTTTTTTTTTTAATTACGCGTTATTTTTTTAAATTCTATATAGCGAAGCACAATTTTAATTAAATTTAGACGAGCACCGGTGGGAGATGAACGCACAAACAAAAAGAATTTATAACAATAAACAAAACGAAACAAATCCAATTAAGTATGCTTCCGTGTGTTTTCATTTAATTCCACGTGGAAATTAAAATTATGTAATCAGCAACTGCACCCATTCATACATTTAACATTTTTTTTTTATTTTTTTTTTTTGTATATTAATTATAAAGTAATTTAGGTGTGTTGAATGTAATTTGTATTAAGCTGTTTGTTTTATTTAAAAACTGAAAATTATTAATATTATAATTTATTTATGAAGGAAGTAATTATAATGTTTATAAGTAAATAGTTATTTATTTTTGGGTAAAAAATCTGATAAATATTATCAAAATTGGCGGCGCAAGTCATTATATTAGAAGTGCAAAAAATGATGATTAATATTTAAATTTTTCATTTAATGTCATTTTTAGGTTAGGGGCTTAAGTTAAACACTTGACAATAGTAATTATCAAAATAATTATTTTGTATCTTTT